CTGCATTCCATAGGCATTTGTTGAAAGCACCCAGTTGTAGTCTCCCTCATTACGGTCATGGGTAGCGTTTTTTTGGTAATGTTTTGATTGACGCCCGTAGAGGCAAGTACACCTCTTCAGATGAATATACTGCGTTCTTTTGCAATCCTTGAATTTCGTTTTTGGAAAAAATTGTTTTGATAGTTTGAACCAGGTCTTACTTTATCATTTCTTTTTGATGCTTTTTGTCTCACCACGCTTGTAATGGTTTATTCGGGTTTTTTTTGGGGCCTCAACTAATCTAAGCAGCTTTGGTAGTTGGTTTTTTAAAAATTTATTTCACTGCTACTTTCACCTCTAAGTACCTTTTATTAGCTGAAAATGTTGGTATCTGATTCTCCTTTACGCATCATTGAACATCATATTCATATGTTAACCCGGCTTGTCACTCACTTTTTTACCATTCATGGAATTATTTTTTGGCTAAAAATATTGCTAGATTTGTGCTGATGATTTGAACCCAGTCGCATCACTTTGCCATAAGATATTCTTGGTCATTTTGTTCCAGCGCGGTTCTTATCGTATTTTTACGGGTAGTATGCCCTACCTTTTAGTACTAACGTGGAGTAAAACAATCATACGTGACCTTAAGTTGGTTTCTAGCTGATAAATCCTTAGATCAGTATTGGTGCAAGGAAGGTGATTAAATGTTCTTTGCTATCTGTAAAAGGACCTCTCCGTACAGTACGATGGAACGGTTCGCGACTCTGGTGGTTCGGTGATCCAGTTTCGCTACGGTGACGATGGCCTTGACGTCTGCCAATCGACTTTTCTGAAGCCTGAGGGCTTCCATTTCTTTGCAGAGAATGCAGAACTGCTGGCAGAGCGTTGGCGTTGCCCCTTAGATCCTGAGCTCTACCGCAAACTGACCGAGCAAAATCCCCTCTCTCCGGAACTTGCTCGAAAGGTAGATGAAGTGGCCGTCAAACGACTCACTGTGAGTATCCTTTAACGAATTTTCATGTTGGAACTCTCTGCTGGAACTACTATGATGCTTTAAATTTTAAAGCGCCTTTAACACTTGTGTAATTTACGGGATGCGATTAGTTAAGTTACTCCTTTGACTTTGGCTTCACCTTGTTGTGGCTGCGTTTAAATGTGGTTCGATAGTTGTTCTATTATTTTTAACAAATTCGCTTTCTCGAGTGTTTTAGTTTGAAAACAGTATATAACTGGATTCCTTAATTGACATGAATTGGTGAAAATTTGGCTTCCTGAAAGGGAAACGACTCCACAATTTAGGCCGATCACTCTTTTGGGAGGGGGTTTTTCATCACTGCTCATCACGCAATTGCACGATGGCTGCTAATGTTCTCACCGCCAATCTGTTATCTACCATTTACTATTGTTCCCTCCAGCGTTATTTACTACCAAACCATGAACTCTTTTCTAACAAGCACTCGATTTACATTTTCATCGGGTACAAGTTACAATTAGTATGGTGGTTATGATAGTCATCTTGTATTCCATCGCGTAATCGAAGCTCGCATTTTAGATGCAAGGTATTAACGAGAGGCCTTTCCTTTTCATTGCAAAGCGGACTTCCTTTTGTAGATCTTACAGACATCGCTTAGCGCCAAGAAGTTGGCCCACTTAAAGAAGCGCAGGGATCGTGCTCAGCGAAAACTCACCGAAACTGCATCTTTGAGCACTCTTTCGGAACCTCCCTGTACTATGGCGGCGGATCTACGAACCATTGTCACAGCCAAAATTACACAGGGACAGGCAAGTCTTTAAGCGACACCGATATTTTTCACTTGCTTGTTATATTGCTATTGTGTGCTCATTGCAAACAATTGTTTTATCATGGCAATTTTAGTGAGCTCAACAGTGCAGTGTATATGGCCATTGGAGACGACTAGATTAATTCAATTTCAGTTTTGCGTTTGGCGCAGAAAAAGATGTTCCACACCATCCTAAGTTTTAACTGTCATTCTACCATGAGGTGCGGTTTGCGTGGATGCTCCCTCACTCACTTTGATTTGCAGAAATCTCACGAGCGCACTTTCTGTAGGTTCCGCCTGGAGAGCCAGTGGGTCTATTAGCGGCCCAGTCAGTGGGTGAGCCCTCTACCCAGATGACGCTAAATACCTTCCACTTTGCTGGTCGTGGTGAAATGAACGTCACTCTGGGCATTCCTCGCCTTCGGGAGGTGCTGATGTCCGGTTCTGCGGTTATCGCCACACCCTGCATGGAGGTGCCTATTCTACCCACTTCCGGGGCCAAATCCAGGGCTGAGCACATTGCCCGTGAGATGTACAGGTTGCGTCTTGCTGAGGTGAGCTATCCGTCTAGGCTTGCTAGCCCTTAGGCCCATGTGCGAGCGTTTTTTTACATCAATGGTAGTCATTCATAAGTTTGGGTGGTTTCCTATCACAGAGGGCTCTTTGTTTTAACTTCCCCACCTTACTGCCGTAGTATTTCATTCATTCATCCCGATATGCCTCATTACGTCTTCGGGGATGGCCTGGAGCTTTATATTTCTCATTTCAATTGGTTTGATCACTAATTTCTTGCATACTTCCACAGAGATTGTCATCTTTGAATTGGTTCATATCTTGTAAATTCGAGGATTGAATTTTCTGCATTGTAAATGGAATAAGTAGCGTTGAATATATTAGCTCGTTTGTGACACAATCGGTAAATCACCATTTATGCATTATTGATGCGTTTGCAGGTTATCAAATTGCCCCTCAGCATGGAGGTTGACTACTCGTCGGACTCATGTTCGCTCACTTTTAATCTTCTGCCTCCCTCGTCATACCAGTCGCGCACTAATGTCGGTGCCCGTCGCATCATTCACTTTTTTGAGCGCGTTCTCTTCGTCGACTTGAGCAAACGCCTGACGCAAGAGCTCAAAGATCAATGCAAATCAAGGTGCGCCTCGCTTTAATTTTGAATTCGGTGTAGGGATAGTGGAGATCACTGCTTTAATAACTTCCTTCAAATGTGAGCTTTTCACTGCTCGTTTTTAATGGGAATGGTTTACCTCCCCAGATGGGCTGTTTGTGGTGGTGTGGCTCCATGTCCCATGCATATTCACTTTTTTTTTGCTACTTGAAGTCTCTTCAAGTTGTTCCGCGGACTTCTTAAATATATCACTTGGCTGACTAGTCTCTTGCAAAGCAGGTTGACTGCATGATGTATCCAGATCATTTGTTAGGAAATTAGTTTTATTCACAGGGAGGCGCCTAGAAGTGTCTCTGAATTGCTACTTCTTATTCACCGTAGCGGCGTTGAATTAATGCAACGCAGCGTAATTTTATTATAAACTTTCATCTGTAAGGTAGTCAGATAAGTCCGCAAGGTTTTTATAAATAACATTAGCCTTCAGCGAGAAGCTTTGATAAATACTTTATTTCTTAAAGTAGTCGTTATTGACAAGTTAAGATCCGTTTTCATTTCTCAGGGCAATACAGGCTTGCGAATCCCACATTCCCAAGGCGTTTTCTCTCTAGAAGCAAAAAACCACCCCTGGCCATCCACGTTTTAATTACACTTTTAATCCCCAAATCTATTTTACTTTGTACGTAATTGTCTAATGCCAGTGCAGAGAAAATAGAACCATCACTTGAAGAAATGGCAACAGAATGCGGCGAGTAATGACGAGGCAGTGCTTTTCTACCTCCTTTCGTCCTAACAGTGTAACTTCCACGGATAGTTTTGCGGCATAAGGTCCTGCGTCGACTTGTGGGAATGGGGACTTTTTCCAACTGATTGGCTGGTCCTGGGCTGTTTCTCAATAGGAAGGTTTTATTGCACACCCGCGAGTTGCAGCGGGTAGTTTCACCAAAGTGAATCTCAATTGTGATTGTTCGACCCTTAGCAAGGCATACATACGCACACAAAGCAGTGTTGTGGGAGTAAGATGGGGTTTACCTTAGAAGTTTGAAGATAACCGACGCTATGTCCGCGCCTCCAACAAGCATTGAGATAAGGGCGCAAAAGGCATTTCTCATCACGGGCCAATCAGCCAGTAATTTATAGTGCCCGGCGAGTTTTATAATGTGTGTGAAAGGGGTGAGGGACAAGTTGACTTTTTGAAAACTTGTTGTCATGTGTTAGTAGATGAGAGTGAGACTTGCTGCCTTAGCAGCTTCCACAACTTCCCGCTTGCAATCGATGCAGATATAGACGAATTCTTTCGTCAGCATAACCCTAAACATTATTTTCAGTTACTTCTTTGGCTAGTTATTTTTAAATTATTTTTATTGATGGCTACATTTAAGTCCCCACTGATGTAGCGAATAGAGGATCTTCCTAAGTATGGTGCACGTAACTTGGACTGATTCAAATCCTATTGTTTGTTTGAACTAGTACCGGGCAATTCGTTCTGCTACCACGCCGCACCGCCTCCAGATGCCATACAACAAGCCTGACTAGAAGCCTTTACAGCTTTGGAAATTAGTTTCATGCATGCACATAAACCACTTCACCTTTTTTGCACTGTTTTTCTTTCCTACTAGAGAGTTGCGGTTTTTTCTCCAAATATGGTTTAATCCTAATTATTTATGGAATAATATTGCAAAATTATTTTGAATCAAGTATCATTGCATCTGATCTTTGGTATTACGATTACGATTATTTTGACCATGCAATGGAGGCTTCCGGCCATCCTTGGGATTAGTGGTGTAATTCTATATGAACTATGATATTTGTGCCCTTGTGGGCTTCTTGAAAGTCTGTCTAAATTAGTAAATTTCTCATCAGATATTCATGCGACCATCCAAGGTGGCCATAAAGCTTCGTAAATTTGCAGTAGTTTTGACTTCGAAAGCACGTAGTAAAAATATTAATTTTGTGCCTGTATCCATTCAGCGAGATTGCAACATTTAACCTGAAGGCGTTGGCACGTCAGCAACAGCAACAGGCAGAGGGAATGGATGGAGGCGACGCGAACGATGAACGTCGGACAACAGGTCGCGATGAGTGGGGTGAGGACGACGGAGCGGAGGTAAGCATGCTTCCATCTTCTAGTACTCCGTTTCTGGTGTCGTGAGATGCACTTAGAAAGTGGCCCGTCTTCTGATATGGCGAGTATATCACGAGGCGTGATTCATTTGAAAAAGAAGTAGAAGTTAATTTGGGCTTCTATAAGAATTCAACGGTTTTCTGTATAAAATTTAACGTTGGGTTTTTTGGGGTTTTGGATTTTGCAAGTTACTTAAGGATAAAAAAACCACGAAATTATATCCCACTACTTGTCCATTTTAGCGAAAGTTGCGAAAAGGTACTAAAAGATTTTATGGTTAACATTTGGACCTTTGTCCATTTCCCAAAAAATGACAACTTAAGTATTACACCATTAAAAAACATCTGTCTGCCCTTTTGAAATCGCAGCTTGAAACATAGGATAACTTTGCGTTGTTACCCATATGTTACTGCAGTAAATTAGTCTCGTTAGCTTAAACCCATGGAATCCGCCAGAAAATACCTCAGGTAGGGAGCCGCGTTTATTCGATCCAGCGTTGTTTTGCGGTTCTGACTGTGCAGAGGTTAAAGACAAGCGGAAAACTTGCAGCCAGCTGGGCAACCAATCTCATAAGGAACAAAGGGAAATATCAGAATCGGCGGGCCGAGTGCCGTTCAGTAACTCAAGATGGTACCATTGCCGACTATGAGTGCCGTCCAGTTATGGAGAGGGCAATGATCCATACAAGTCACAGAGGTTGAGAAGGGGCACAATAACGTAAAAATGGGCAACAATTAATACTAGTAATTTATGCTAGCCAAATTATAATATGTTTGGAGGTAATTACCTTTTTATTGTTTGTGTTCTATCATCACCATATTATGCATTTTTAATCACAAAATACTTGCTTGAAATCACCTCATAAGACAATATTATCAAAGTTTTTCTTGCAAAATTGGCCAAGAAATCTTCATTGTGTTTCTTTTCTTATTTCATCGGTCTCAATTATCTTTTGAAAAAAGTACAAGTAGGTTCCGTAATTGCTGTTTTAGAATTTAAAATATTCAGTAGTTTTGTAATCTACTACTGCTTCTGATACACCGTTCATTAATACACAATTGTACTTTAAGCCACAAGGGCAGAAACCATAGTCTTACTCCAATTCCCTCCTCCACAGGCAGTGCGCAGACGTCGACTTGAAGCCGAGGACGAGACTGGAGGAGAGAGAGCCGCAGAGGGTGGTGTAAACGCAGGCTGCGAGGCAATTGATGAGGACGACGATGAGGTGGCGGAGCTTCGTGAAATCGGTGTCGATTTGGAGGCAGCTGCAGCCGCATCGGAGGACCAAGAGGCCGCCGGTGGTGATGACGAGATAGACTCATGGCAGGATGTTGCTGGACCCTCCACCTCCAATGCTGCTGCCGAACCGTGCCCTGAGAGGTCCACTTCCGTTTCCAAACCAGTCACTGAGATCGGCGGCGCAGAGGTGGTCGAATTGGAACGCGGTGAGGAAGACGATGAAGACCATGGCGAAGAACTTGTGCTCGACAGAGATGTGGTCGAGGTGACGCAGAGCTCTGCAAAGGGCATGGACTCAAGACGAATCAATGTGAGTGGAGGACCAAACATTTCCACATTTATGTTTTCATGATCCTGGCTACCCCAAGATGATTTGGCTAGTTTAACTTACTATATAGCTTCTTATTACCGGCTAATACTATTTAGCTTTCTCCTTCCACAAAGGCCTGGTAATGAACTCTTATTCTTTTCCTCTTTTAGTTTGTAATGAGTCTACATCATCGCTTCACTGACTACGCTTACGATACTAGTGAGACTCCGTCATGGGTGAAATTGACCATATCTGTATGTTTAACCGGTTCTTAATTTTCACTATTTTCCGATATGGCTTGCTTGATTAGACTTTTCACGTTGTTCCTTTGGTGCATTAGTAGATCGTTGTAGCTTCCGCCAGCCACTTTTGTAGGCTTAGTTGTTCTGTATCATCCTATGGCTTATGAACGGCGGAACTGTTATTTGACGTACATCACCTGCTGTGTTGGGCAGTTTTTCTGTGCAAGTTCATCATTTGCTAACCAAAATTTTAGCTTTTTGGAGAATCTGAGTGACTTTTTTCCGAAGGTGACATTATTTTCAGTGCGTTTTTAAGGTTTTCTCATTCTTTCAGATGTTTGATCCCAAAGACGGTCGTATCTCAATTGATTTACGCACTCTGGTACAACGCATTATCTCAAAGAGTGTGGTCTCCTTTGTTCCAAATATTCGAAAAGCTTTCATTGATAAAACTGATCCTAAGGAGTGGATTCTGCGTGTTGAAGGTGAAAATATTAAGGTATGCACTTGAATGCCTTTTGTCTGTCAATAACGGCTACTGTGGATCTCTTTTTGATCCTACCGGTATTAGAACGCATCGAAAACACTTTCAATTAAAGACGGCAAATATTTCATCTTCAATAACTTAACGTTTCCTCTCAATGCTTCACAAGTAGAATGTTCATCTTAAACTTGTCTTTTTTAGAAGCACCTCTTTGATCGTTAGTCTAAGCTGTTTGTACATCATGCATCTCCTCAGATTTCATGATTGCACCGTGTGCGCTTATTATTGGTTATTTTTCTATCATACCCACTTTTTTAATTTTGTATTGTCGAATTTGTTGTCTCCGCGGATGGTGGTGCATTAGAAGCTTTACTTCTTCCCCAAGCACTCAAATTTAGCGTCGAGCTGAAATTGCTGAGCTAATCTTTTTTAAGGGATTAAAAACTGTTTCATTTCTCCTTCACTATGACTTTTACTGCACTAGCCTTCAGTTTTGAAATGGTCTTGTTTGACTTCATAGTTCTACTGGTTTCTTCATTGGCTTTTGGTTGTGAAGTATTTCGCTCAACGGATTGGCTTAATTAGCTAGCGTTTCCTAACGATGCTTGTTCTTCGCTATTATTTTTGTTTGTGAGGCGATCCAGCCAATCGTTTTGCTAAAAAAAATTTTCACTGCTTTTATTGCGTCCGTTACGGTAATCGCTTTGTTGGCGAGTCTAAAAGTTCCCCTCACACTGCGCGACCAGTGGCTCCGCGCTTTGTTTTCACTCAAAAAAATGCGACCAAAGTTTAGCATTAGTGTGTCTTTTCTTCTTCAGACAAATAATGAGCAAATGGAGGAAATTCTTCCGGTAGTGTACTTTTATTCCCTTCGTGAAAAAACACATTAAAATACATCGAAATATTCATGAGAGTTAGCATTTTTGCGTGCAACTTTAGCAATGCACTCCTGTAAGATAATGAGCCGGCTACGAGTCCTTTCCGATGAAAATTTTGACTTTTCACATTATGTAATTTTATCTCTCCTATGTTGTCCTCAATGTTTACAATTATATTGCTCAGTATTCCAAAGTCTTGTCGTCTTCTACCCTATGCTGCAACGCATCATTCATATTCGGAAAATTTTGGCCTTTTAAATTTGTCAAGACTCTTAATAGCTAAATTGTTTGGATTTTAAGTTTGATCACTTGTGCTAGTTTAAAAGATTAATATAATTGGAATTTTATTTCCACTTATTACTTTTATCGCCGCCATGAAAACCTCAAGAACAGTAAGCTTTAGATTAACGTGTCATTTTCCTTGATCGCTTGAATTAGTATAAATGAGCACTATTGTTAATAATAATGAAAATGTTTTGCTGTGCAAATACACGTTAAGATAGTTTTCGACAATATCCTTCCTTTAAGTTGCTTGTTCTTTTTTCAATGCAAATTTCGGCGTCTAAAAATTTGTACTGTATACCTAATATCCTGACTGGTACTGCTGGTTCCTTCTGAAAATAGCTGAAGGATTTGGCTTCAATGAATGCAACTCATCGTAGGCAAATAGCAGCATAACATATTTCCATTTAGGTGCTCTATCGCTATGGTGATGTGTTCGATCTCAGTCGACTCTACACCAACCACGTACCAGCGATGCAAGCTCACTTTGGTATCGAGGCGGCTCGGGCCTCTCTGCAGCGCGAAATCTCCAGTGTGTTCAGTCACTACGGCATCAGTGTGAACTCGCGTCATCTTGGGCTGGTGGCAGACTACCTCACCAAAACCGGTGCTTATCGCGCCTTTAATCGACGTACTATGGACTTCCACCCCTCGCCTATGCAACGCATCACTTTTGAAACCGCCACCAATGTGCTCAAATCGGTCATTCAAGAAAGTAGGCATTGCTCACAACTATATATCAGTTTTCAACCAGGGGGTAATTCAATGGTCTGAAGGCACTAATGTCCAGGCTTTGATGCGATTTTGTTTAGTCAGGAATTCACGCCTGAGTCACCTCTACATCGCAGCTATGATACTAAATATTTTAATCCTAGAACACACAAAAGCCTTTTATGGGTACCATTTGTTTAGGCAAACAAAAATCATCTTTTGGGCAATTTTTTAAATTAAATATAATTTTCTTTTTGTCTGGCATTCCGTGCAACGTTGAGGATGGTGTCATAAAAAATGAAACTATCGTCGGGGGCTCCTCTGCAAACAATGGTCGCGACGATAGATCATAATGTACTAAAACAATTACTTGGACGAGTATTCTCGAAAAGATACCCATAACCAGAACTTATGAAACCAATTGCCTGTGGAAAACAATCAACCTGGTGTTTTCGGTTGATTGCTCTTCTATATTGACGCACCTTCTTGGGTACTGAGGCTTTGCCAAGTAACTGAATCGAGCCCATCACAGCCTGCCTTCATTTGATTCCTATTAAAAATCTTGTAGACACAGGAGTTTAGATTCTGTTTACATAAATATGACATTTATATTAAGCACGAAATCGTAAGGTCTCTGTAACTACGTACATCTTTTCAAAATGTGCGTTTTACGATTTTAGATTTGGTTGAAAACACCGTTTCGCCGTCCGCCAGCCTCACCGCTGGTCAGCTTACACGCGGTTACGGAACTACTTGCTTTGACCTCTTATCCCAGCTGTCAATTTAGCCCGACCGAAGATGTACTTGCGAAGATGTGGTAGATTTGATTGTGTAAAGCACGGAAATGGATTTTTTTACACTTCTTAAGGAGGTGGAGGGACACGTACATTAAAATAGCAACTATCGAGGGCACACGTTTTTAAAAAAATGATTTTAATTTCACCCCTATCTTAAATCTGTAATGACGAGATAAAGTTGAATTTGTTAATAACACTTGCAAATGTCCAACACTCATTATAAACATCTTCGGATAGTGGGCCTTAGGAATGGCACGTTTAAGGTGGCCTAGTAAGAAATGTTTATCCGGGGCCTAAATTTGGGGATAAGTGAACAGGTGACTCATAACTCAAGCTTCTGTAAACACCCTGCAAGAGGCCGTCATTCGGAGTTGCCATCTTTGCAGTTGTTTCTGCATCTAGATTGTGCGCTTACATTGCTTCTGCTATCAGTGACTGGGAGGAATTACTCCATTTCAGTGAGCATCCATCTGGGGTTTCCCGTCTGTGCTTTCTAAATTTGAATAGTTAGATCGGGTGATGCTCCGAGGTGGTGCTTGCTTTAATTGGTGTGCATGGATTCTTCGATCTCTTGCTTACACTCTCAATTTAGCAGGGTGCTTTGCAGTCGTATCTGTGATCTTCATTCCTGTACACCGGTAACAAACCTTTTTTTCGCCTGGCTCATCATGTGGGGAAAGTATTGTCAAGTAAAACGTCGTCGGTCAGGTCTATAGATAACGTTCTTCGTTACCTTTTGCTATAAAGTGGTATTTTCTCTGGGCGGTGTTGCAATCAAAGGAATAGGTAGTCTGGGTGTAAGGATTAATTTAATAGGGAATGAATGGTTGACGTCGTGGGGCGCTTTTCGTACCCTGTGTTCATGGACACTCAGTTTGAGGTGTTAAGAGGTTGGGTGCTAATAACTCCCAAAATGCAATCAATTGCCCTTCTAGAATAGCTTTTACAACCATTAGTGTCACCAAAACCGTTAACCGCTTTGTCATAATGCTATCGAGCGGTTACTATTGCAATATTTATTTTTCAGTCTTGAGCAGTCTCTGGAGGAATCACACAGCCGTATAATATGCTGTGAATGTGCGGGTATTCTGATTTCAAATTTGCCGTAACGATATAGGAGGCATAGTGCAAAAAGGAAATAGGAGCTTTATTTGGTGCAAATACTCATATGATGGGCCCCGCGACGAAGGCTGCGAAACCTGCCTCGACGATCCAAAGTAATTGGTAGTATCACTCCCTTTGAGCATGCGAAAAGGGATCTTGCCAATGTGATTCAGCAAGGATGCGTTAATTTGAAATTATAGCATAATATATCGAATTCGCACTTTAACACTCGCATTAGAGTTGAAAACAAACACACTGTAACTCCTCGTGACCACAAACACTACCACGAGGAAAGAGTTGTCCAATTTTAGCTGCTTCATATAGGTACGCTCGTCAGACAGAGACTTATTGCGTACATACATCTTAAAGCAGCACGATTTTCCTAGCGTATAGGGAGAGAACCTAAAGGCCTACTCCCCTGTATAAAACGAAAAAAAGTAGTAACATCATGTACTGAAATTCAAAGCGTTTACCGTAATCTGCTTTGGACTGCATTCCATAGGCATTTGTTGAAAGCACCCAGTTGTAGTCTCCCTCATTACGGTCATGGGTAGCGTTTTTTTGGTAATGTTTTGATTGACGCCCGTAGAGGCAAGTACACCTCTTCAGATGAATATACTGCGTTCTTTTGCAATCCTTGAATTTCGTTTTTGGAAAAAATTGTTTTGATAGTTTGAACCAGGTCTTACTTTATCATTTCTTTTTGATGCTTTTTGTCTCACCACGCTTGTAATGGTTTATTCGGGTTTTTTTTGGGGCCTCAACTAATCTAAGCAGCTTTGGTAGTTGGTTTTTTAAAAATTTATTTCACTGCTACTTTCACCTCTAAGTACCTTTTATTAGCTGAAAATGTTGGTATCTGATTCTCCTTTACGCATCATTGAACATCATATTCATATGTTAACCCGGCTTGTCACTCACTTTTTTACCATTCATGGAATTATTTTTTGGCTAAAAATATTGCTAGATTTGTGCTGATGATTTGAACCCAGTCGCATCACTTTGCCATAAGATATTCTTGGTCATTTTGTTCCAGCGCGGTTCTTATCGTATTTTTACGGGTAGTATGCCCTACCTTTTAGTACTAACGTGGAGTAAAACAATCATACGTGACCTTAAGTTGGTTTCTAGCTGATAAATCCTTAGATCAGTATTGGTGCAAGGAAGGTGATTAAATGTTCTTTGCTATCTGTAAAAGGACCTCTCCGTACAGTACGATGGAACGGTTCGCGACTCTGGTGGTTCGGTGATCCAGTTTCGCTACGGTGACGATGGCCTTGACGTCTGCCAATCGACTTTTCTGAAGCCTGAGGGCTTCCATTTCTTTGCAGAGAATGCAGAACTGCTGGCAGAGCGTTGGCGTTGCCCCTTAGATCCTGAGCTCTACCGCAAACTGACCGAGCAAAATCCCCTCTCTCCGGAACTTGCTCGAAAGGTAGATGAAGTGGCCGTCAAACGACTCACTGTGAGTATCCTTTAACGAATTTTCATGTTGGAACTCTCTGCTGGAACTACTATGATGCTTTAAATTTTAAAGCGCCTTTAACACTTGTGTAATTTACGGGATGCGATTAGTTAAGTTACTCCTTTGACTTTGGCTTCACCTTGTTGTGGCTGCGTTTAAATGTGGTTCGATAGTTGTTCTATTATTTTTAACAAATTCGCTTTCTCGAGTGTTTTAGTTTGAAAACAGTATATAACTGGATTCCTTAATTGACATGAATTGGTGAAAATTTGGCTTCCTGAAAGGGAAACGACTCCACAATTTAGGCCGATCACTCTTTTGGGAGGGGGTTTTTCATCACTGCTCATCACGCAATTGCACGATGGCTGCTAATGTTCTCACCGCCAATCTGTTATCTACCATTTACTATTGTTCCCTCCAGCGTTATTTACTACCAAACCATGAACTCTTTTCTAACAAGCACTCGATTTACATTTTCATCGGGTACAAGTTACAATTAGTATGGTGGTTATGATAGTCATCTTGTATTCCATCGCGTAATCGAAGCTCGCATTTTAGATGCAAGGTATTAACGAGAGGCCTTTCCTTTTCATTGCAAAGCGGACTTCCTTTTGTAGATCTTACAGACATCGCTTAGCGCCAAGAAGTTGGCCCACTTAAAGAAGCGCAGGGATCGTGCTCAGCGAAAACTCACCGAAACTGCATCTTTGAGCACTCTTTCGGAACCTCCCTGTACTATGGCGGCGGATCTACGAACCATTGTCACAGCCAAAATTACACAGGGACAGGCAAGTCTTTAAGCGACACCGATATTTTTCACTTGCTTGTTATATTGCTATTGTGTGCTCATTGCAAACAATTGTTTTATCATGGCAATTTTAGTGAGCTCAACAGTGCAGTGTATATGGCCATTGGAGACGACTAGATTAATTCAATTTCAGTTTTGCGTTTGGCGCAGAAAAAGATGTTCCACACCATCCTAAGTTTTAACTGTCATTCTACCATGAGGTGCGGTTTGCGTGGATGCTCCCTCACTCACTTTGATTTGCAGAAATCTCACGAGCGCACTTTCTGTAGGTTCCGCCTGGAGAGCCAGTGGGTCTATTAGCGGCCCAGTCAGTGGGTGAGCCCTCTACCCAGATGACGCTAAATACCTTCCACTTTGCTGGTCGTGGTGAAATGAACGTCACTCTGGGCATTCCTCGCCTTCGGGAGGTGCTGATGTCCGGTTCTGCGGTTATCGCCACACCCTGCATGGAGGTGCCTATTCTACCCACTTCCGGGGCCAAATCCAGGGCTGAGCACATTGCCCGTGAGATGTACAGGTTGCGTCTTGCTGAGGTGAGCTATCCGTCTAGGCTTGCTAGCCCTTAGGCCCATGTGCGAGCGTTTTTTTACATCAATGGTAGTCATTCATAAGTTTGGGTGGTTTCCTATCACAGAGGGCTCTTTGTTTTAACTTCCCCACCTTACTGCCGTAGTATTTCATTCATTCATCCCGATATGCCTCATTACGTCTTCGGGGATGGCCTGGAGCTTTATATTTCTCATTTCAATTGGTTTGATCACTAATTTCTTGCATACTTCCACAGAGATTGTCATCTTTGAATTGGTTCATATCTTGTAAATTCGAGGATTGAATTTTCTGCATTGTAAATGGAATAAGTAGCGTTGAATATATTAGCTCGTTTGTGACACAATCGGTAAATCACCATTTATGCATTATTGATGCGTTTGCAGGTTATCAAATTGCCCCTCAGCATGGAGGTTGACTACTCGTCGGACTCATGTTCGCTCACTTTTAATCTTCTGCCTCCCTCGTCATACCAGTCGCGCACTAATGTCGGTGCCCGTCGCATCATTCACTTTTTTGAGCGCGTTCTCTTCGTCGACTTGAGCAAACGCCTGACGCAAGAGCTCAAAGATCAATGCAAATCAAGGTGCGCCTCGCTTTAATTTTGAATTCGGTGTAGGGATAGTGGAGATCACTGCTTTAATAACTTCCTTCAAATGTGAGCTTTTCACTGCTCGTTTTTAATGGGAATGGTTTACCTCCCCAGATGGGCTGTTTGTGGTGGTGTGGCTCCATGTCCCATGCATATTCACTTTTTTTTTGCTACTTGAAGTCTCTTCAAGTTGTTCCGCGGACTTCTTAAATATATCACTTGGCTGACTAGTCTCTTGCAAAGCAGGTTGACTGCATGATGTATCCAGATCATTTGTTAGGAAATTAGTTTTATTCACAGGGAGGCGCCTAGAAGTGTCTCTGAATTGCTACTTCTTATTCACCGTAGCGGCGTTGAATTAATGCAACGCAGCGTAATTTTATTATAAACTTTCATCTGTAAGGTAGTCAGATAAGTCCGCAAGGTTTTTATAAATAACATTAGCCTTCAGCGAGAAGCTTTGATAAATACTTTATTTCTTAAAGTAGTCGTTATTGACAAGTTAAGATCCGTTTTCATTTCTCAGGGCAATACAGGCTTGCGAATCCCACATTCCCAAGGCGTTTTCTCTCTAGAAGCAAAAAACCACCCCTGGCCATCCACGTTTTAATTACACTTTTAATCCCCAAATCTATTTTACTTTGTACGTAATTGTCTAATGCCAGTGCAGAGAAAATAGAACCATCACTTGAAGAAATGGCAACAGAATGCGGCGAGTAATGACGAGGCAGTGCTTTTCTACCTCCTTTCGTCCTAACAGTGTAACTTCCACGGATAGTTTTGCGGCATAAGGTCCTGCGTCGACTTGTGGGAATGGGGACTTTTTCCAACTGATTGGCTGGTCCTGGGCTGTTTCTCAATAGGAAGGTTTTATTGCACACCCGCGAGTTGCAGCGGGTAGTTTCACCAAAGTGAATCTCAATTGTGATTGTTCGACCCTTAGCAAGGCATACATACGCACACAAAGCAGTGTTGTGGGAGTAAGATGGGGTTTACCTTAGAAGTTTGAAGATAACCGACGCTATGTCCGCGCCTCCAACAAGCATTGAGATAAGGGCGCAAAAGGCATTTCTCATCACGGGCCAATCAGCCAGTAATTTATAGTGCCCGGCGAGTTTTATAATGTGTGTGAAAGGGGTGAGGGACAAGTTGACTTTTTGAAAACTTGTTGTCATGTGTTAGTAGATGAGAGTGAGACTTGCTGCCTTAGCAGCTTCCACAACTTCCCGCTTGCAATCGATGCAGATATAGACGAATTCTTTCGTCAGCATAACCCTAAACATTATTTTCAGTTACTTCTTTGGCTAGTTATTTTTAAATTATTTTTATTGATGGCTACATTTAAGTCCCCACTGATGTAGCGAATAGAGGATCTTCCTAAGTATGGTGCACGTAACTTGGACTGATTCAAATCCTATTGTTTGTTTGAACTAGTACCGGGCAATTCGTTCTGCTACCACGCCGCACCGCCTCCAGATGCCATACAACAAGCCTGACTAGAAGCCTTTACAGCTTTGGAAATTAGTTTCATGCATGCACATAAACCACTTCACCTTTTTTGCACTGTTTTTCTTTCCTACTAGAGAGTTGCGGTTTTTTCTCCAAATATGGTTTAATCCTAATTATTTATGGAATAATATTGCAAAATTATTTTGAATCAAGTATCATTGCATCTGATCTTTGGTATTACGATTACGATTATTTTGACCATGCAATGGAGGCTTCCGGCCATCCTTGGGATTAGTGGTGTAATTCTATATGAACTATGATATTTGTGCCCTTGTGGGCTTCTTGAAAGTCTGTCTAAATTAGTAAATTTCTCATCAGATATTCATGCGACCATCCAAGGTGGCCATAAAGCTTCGTAAATTTGCAGTAGTTTTGACTTCGAAAGCACGTAGTAAAAATATTAATTTTGTGCCTGTATCCATTCAGCGAGATTGCAACATTTAACCTGAAGGCGTTGGCACGTCAGCAACAGCAACAGGCAGAGGGAATGGATGGAGGCGACGCGAACGATGAACGTCGGACAACAGGTCGCGATGAGTGGGGTGAGGACGACGGAGCGGAGGTAAGCATGCTTCCATCTTCTAGTACTCCGTTTCTGGTGTCGTGAGATGCACTTAGAAAGTGGCCCGTCTTCTGATATGGCGAGTATATCACGAGGCGTGATTCATTTGAAAAAGAAGTAGAAGTTAATTTGGGCTTCTATAAGAATTCAACGGTTTTCTGTATAAAATTTAACGTTGGGTTTTTTGGGGTTTTGGATTTTGCAAGTTACTTAAGGATAAAAAAACCACGAAATTATATCCCACTACTTGTCCATTTTAGCGAAAGTTGCGAAAAGGTACTAAAAGATTTTATGGTTAACATTTGGACCTTTGTCCATTTCCCAAAAAATGACAACTTAAGTATTACACCATTAAAAAACATCTGTCTGCCCTTTTGAAATCGCAGCTTGAAACATAGGATAACTTTGCGTTGTTACCCATATGTTACTGCAGTAAATTAGTCTCGTTAGCTTAAACCCATGGAATCCGCCAGAAAATACCTCAGGTAGGGAGCCGCGTTTATTCGATCCAGCGTTGTTTTGCGGTTCTGACTGTGCAGAGGTTAAAGACAAGCGGAAAACTTGCAGCCAGCTGGGCAACCAATCTCATAAGGAACAAAGGGAAATATCAGAATCGGCGGGCCGAGTGCCGTTCAGTAACTCAAGATGGTACCATTGCCGACTATGAGTGCCGTCCAGTTATGGAGAGGGCAATGATCCATACAAGTCACAGAGGTTGAGAAGGGGCACAATAACGTAAAAATGGGCAACAATTAATACTAGTAATTTATGCTAGCCAAATTATAATATGTTTGGAGGTAATTACCTTTTTATTGTTTGTGTTCTATCATCACCATATTATGCATTTTTAATCACAAAATACTTGCTTGAAATCACCTCATAAGACAATATTATCAAAGTTTTTCTTGCAAAATTGGCCAAGAAATCTTCATTGTGTTTCTTTTCTTATTTCATCGGTCTCAATTATCTTTTGAAAAAAGTACAAGTAGGTTCCGTAATTGCTGTTTTAGAATTTAAAATATTCAGTAGTTTTGTAATCTACTACTGCTTCTGATACACCGTTCATTAATACACAATTGTACTTTAAGCCACAAGGGCAGAAACCATAGTCTTACTCCAATTCCCTCCTCCACAGGCAGTGCGCAGACGTCGACTTGAAGCCGAGGACGAGACTGGAGGAGAGAGAGCCGCAGAGGGTGGTGTAAACGCAGGCTGCGAGGCAATTGATGAGGACGACGATGAGGTGGCGGAGCTTCGTGAAATCGGTGTCGATTTGGAGGCAGCTGCAGCCGCATCGGAGGACCAAGAGGCCGCCGGTGGTGATGACGAGATAGACTCATGGCAGGATGTTGCTGGACCCTCCACCTCCAATGCTGCTGCCGAACCGTGCCCTGAGAGGTCCACTTCCGTTTCCAAACCAGTCACTGAGATCGGCGGCGCAGAGGTGGTCGAATTGGAACGCGGTGAGGAAGACGATGAAGACCATGGCGAAGAACTTGTGCTCGACAGAGATGTGGTCGAGGTGACGCAGAGCTCTGCAAAGGGCATGGACTCAAGACGAATCAATGTGAGTGGAGGACCAAACATTTCCACATTTATGTTTTCATGATCCTGGCTACCCCAAGATGATTTGGCTAGTTTAACTTACTATATAGCTTCTTATTACCGGCTAATACTATTTAGCTTTCTCCTTCCACAAAGGCCTGGTAATGAACTCTTATTCTTTTCCTCTTTTAGTTTGTAATGAGTCTACATCATCGCTTCACTGACTACGCTTACGATACTAGTGAGACTCCGTCATGGGTGAAATTGACCATATCTGTATGTTTAACCGGTTCTTAATTTTCACTATTTTCCGATATGGCTTGCTTGATTAGACTTTTCACGTTGTTCCTTTGGTGCATTAGTAGATCGTTGTAGCTTCCGCCAGCCACTTTTGTAGGCTTAGTTGTTCTGTATCATCCTATGGCTTATGAACGGCGGAACTGTTATTTGACGTACATCACCTGCTGTGTTGGGCAGTTTTTCTGTGCAAGTTCATCATTTGCTAACCAAAATTTTAGCTTTTTGGAGAATCTGAGTGACTTTTTTCCGAAGGTGACATTATTTTCAGTGCGTTTTTAAGGTTTTCTCATTCTTTCAGATGTTTGATCCCAAAGACGGTCGTATCTCAATTGATTTACGCACTCTGGTACAACGCATTATCTCAAAGAGTGTGGTCTCCTTTGTTCCAAATATTCGAAAAGCTTTCATTGATAAAACTGATCCTAAGGAGTGGATTCTGCGTGTTGAAGGTGAAAATATTAAGGTATGCACTTGAATGCCTTTTGTCTGTCAATAACGGCTACTGTGGATCTCTTTTTGATCCTACCGGTATTAGAACGCATCGAAAACACTTTCAATTAAAGACGGCAAATATTTCATCTTCAATAACTTAACGTTTCCTCTCAATGCTTCACAAGTAGAATGTTCATCTTAAACTTGTCTTTTTTAGAAGCACCTCTTTGATCGTTAGTCTAAGCTGTTTGTACATCATGCATCTCCTCAGATTTCATGATTGCACCGTGTGCGCTTATTATTGGTTATTTTTCTATCATACCCACTTTTTTAATTTTGTATTGTCGAATTTGTTGTCTCCGCGGATGGTGGTGCATTAGAAGCTTTACTTCTTCCCCAAGCACTCAAATTTAGCGTCGAGCTGAAATTGCTGAGCTAATCTTTTTTAAGGGATTAAAAACTGTTTCATTTCTCCTTCACTATGACTTTTACTGCACTAGCCTTCAGTTTTGAAATGGTCTTGTTTGACTTCATAGTTCTACTGGTTTCTTCATTGGCTTTTGGTTGTGAAGTATTTCGCTCAACGGATTGGCTTAATTAGCTAGCGTTTCCTAACGATGCTTGTTCTTCGCTATTATTTTTGTTTGTGAGGCGATCCAGCCAATCGTTTTGCTAAAAAAAATTTTCACTGCTTTTATTGCGTCCGTTACGGTAATCGCTTTGTTGGCGAGTCTAAAAGTTCCCCTCACACTGCGCGACCAGTGGCTCCGCGCTTTGTTTTCACTCAAAAAAATGCGACCAAAGTTTAGCATTAGTGTGTCTTTTCTTCTTCAGACAAATAATGAGCAAATGGAGGAAATTCTTCCGGTAGTGTACTTTTATTCCCTTCGTGAAAAAACACATTAAAATACATCGAAATATTCATGAGAGTTAGCATTTTTGCGTGCAACTTTAGCAATGCACTCCTGTAAGATAATGAGCCGGCTACGAGTCCTTTCCGATGAAAATTTTGACTTTTCACATTATGTAATTTTATCTCTCCTATGTTGTCCTCAATGTTTACAATTATATTGCTCAGTATTCCAAAGTCTTGTCGTCTTCTACCCTATGCTGCAACGCATCATTCATATTCGGAAAATTTTGGCCTTTTAAATTTGTCAAGACTCTTAATAGCTAAATTGTTTGGATTTTAAGTTTGATCACTTGTGCTAGTTTAAAAGATTAATATAATTGGAATTTTATTTCCACTTATTACTTTTATCGCCGCCATGAAAACCTCAAGAACAGTAAGCTTTAGATTAACGTGTCATTTTCCTTGATCGCTTGAATTAGTATAAATGAGCACTATTGTTAATAATAATGAAAATGTTTTGCTGTGCAAATACACGTTAAGATAGTTTTCGACAATATCCTTCCTTTAAGTTGCTTGTTCTTTTTTCAATGCAAATTTCGGCGTCTAAAAATTTGTACTGTATACCTAATATCCTGACTGGTACTGCTGGTTCCTTCTGAAAATAGCTGAAGGATTTGGCTTCAATGAATGCAACTCATCGTAGGCAAATAGCAGCATAACATATTTCCATTTAGGTGCTCTATCGCTATGGTGATGTGTTCGATCTCAGTCGACTCTACACCAACCACGTACCAGCGATGCAAGCTCACTTTGGTATCGAGGCGGCTCGGGCCTCTCTGCAGCGCGAAATCTCCAGTGTGTTCAGTCACTACGGCATCAGTGTGAACTCGCGTCATCTTGGGCTGGTGGCAGACTACCTCACCAAAACCGGTGCTTATCGCGCCTTTAATCGACGTACTATGGACTTCCACCCCTCGCCTATGCAACGCATCACTTTTGAAACCGCCACCAATGTGCTCAAATCGGTCATTCAAGAAAGTAGGCATTGCTCACAACTATATATCAGTTTTCAACCAGGGGGTAATTCAATGGTCTGAAGGCACTAATGTCCAGGCTTTGATGCGATTTTGTTTAGTCAGGAATTCACGCCTGAGTCACCTCTACATCGCAGCTATGATACTAAATATTTTAATCCTAGAACACACAAAAGCCTTTTATGGGTACCATTTGTTTAGGCAAACAAAAATCATCTTTTGGGCAATTTTTTAAATTAAATATAATTTTCTTTTTGTCTGGCATTCCGTGCAACGTTGAGGATGGTGTCATAAAAAATGAAACTATCGTCGGGGGCTCCTCTGCAAACAATGGTCGCGACGATAGATCATAATGTACTAAAACAATTACTTGGACGAGTATTCTCGAAAAGATACCCATAACCAGAACTTATGAAACCAATTGCCTGTGGAAAACAATCAACCTGGTGTTTTCGGTTGATTGCTCTTCTATATTGACGCACCTTCTTGGGTACTGAGGCTTTGCCAAGTAACTGAATCGAGCCCATCACAGCCTGCCTTCATTTGATTCCTATTAAAAATCTTGTAGACACAGGAGTTTAGATTCTGTTTACATAAATATGACATTTATATTAAGCACGAAATCGTAAGGTCTCTGTAACTACGTACATCTTTTCAAAATGTGCGTTTTACGATTTTAGATTTGGTTGAAAACACCGTTTCGCCGTCCGCCAGCCTCACCGCTGGTCAGCTTACACGCGGTTACGGAACTACTTGCTTTGACCTCTTATCCCAGCTGTCAATTTAGCCCGACCGAAGATGTACTTGCGAAGATGTGGTAGATTTGATTGTGTAAAGCACGGAAATGGATTTTTTTACACTTCTTAAGGAGGTGGAGGGACACGTACATTAAAATAGCAACTATCGAGGGCACACGTTTTTAAAAAAATGATTTTAATTTCACCCCTATCTTAAATCTGTAATGACGAGATAAAGTTGAATTTGTTAATAACACTTGCAAATGTCCAACACTCATTATAAACATCTTCGGATAGTGGGCCTTAGGAATGGCACGTTTAAGGTGGCCTAGTAAGAAATGTTTATCCGGGGCCTAAATTTGGGGATAAGTGAACAGGTGACTCATAACTCAAGCTTCTGTAAACACCCTGCAAGAGGCCGTCATTCGGAGTTGCCATCTTTGCAGTTGTTTCTGCATCTAGATTGTGCGCTTACATTGCTTCTGCTATCAGTGACTGGGAGGAATTACTCCATTTCAGTGAGCATCCATCTGGGGTTTCCCGTCTGTGCTTTCTAAATTTGAATAGTTAGATCGGGTGATGCTCCGAGGTGGTGCTTGCTTTAATTGGTGTGCATGGATTCTTCGATCTCTTGCTTACACTCTCAATTTAGCAGGGTGCTTTGCAGTCGTATCTGTGATCTTCATTCCTGTACACCGGTAACAAACCTTTTTTTCGCCTGGCTCATCATGTGGGGAAAGTATTGTCAAGTAAAACGTCGTCGGTCAGGTCTATAGATAACGTTCTTCGTTACCTTTTGCTATAAAGTGGTATTTTCTCTGGGCGGTGTTGCAATCAAAGGAATAGGTAGTCTGGGTGTAAGGATTAATTTAATAGGGAATGAATGGTTGACGTCGTGGGGCGCTTTTCGTACCCTGTGTTCATGGACACTCAGTTTGAGGTGTTAAGAGGTTGGGTGCTAATAACTCCCAAAATGCAATCAATTGCCCTTCTAGAATAGCTTTTACAACCATTAGTGTCACCAAAACCGTTAACCGCTTTGTCATAATGCTATCGAGCGGTTACTATTGCAATATTTATTTTTCAGTCTTGAGCAGTCTCTGGAGGAATCACACAGCCGTATAATATGCTGTGAATGTGCGGGTATTCTGATTTCAAATTTGCCGTAACGATATAGGAGGCATAGTGCAAAAAGGAAATAGGAGCTTTATTTGGTGCAAATACTCATATGATGGGCCCCGCGACGAAGGCTGCGAAACCTGCCTCGACGATCCAAAGTAATTGGTAGTATCACTCCCTTTGAGCATGCGAAAAGGGATCTTGCCAATGTGATTCAGCAAGGATGCGTTAATTTGAAATTATAGCATAATATATCGAATTCGCACTTTAACACTCGCATTAGAGTTGAAAACAAACACACTGTAACTCCTCGTGACCACAAACACTACCACGAGGAAAGAGTTGTCCAATTTTAGCTGCTTCATATAGGTACGCTCGTCAGACAGAGACTTATTGCGTACATACATCTTAAAGCAGCACGATTTTCCTAGCGTATAGGGAGAGAACCTAAAGGCCTACTCCCCTGTATAAAACGAAAAAAAGTAGTAACATCATGTACTGAAATTCAAAGCGTTTACCGTAATCTGCTTTGGATATTATCGAGTTGAAGCAAAATACAATTGAAATGACCAATTTAATAAGGAGTAGACAAAACATAAAGTCCAATTTGTAGCCAACTCTGCTGCAAAAAAAACAAAATTCTTCAGGATATGGATAATATGGG